ACTGTGCTACCATTTCTTGGATCGGAGGAAGGGCGCTTCAGACGCCTGAGAAAGAAAATCCTAAATTAATGCCTAAGAAAAGAACTGGGATGACATTTTGGACTTCGCAGAGGCAAAAGGTTTTAAGTCAACATTCATATATCGACCTCACGGGCTTGGAATTCCCACTGCTCTGCATCCAGACCATGTTAGTAGTTACTTAAAATCACTAACATCTTCTGACTGTTCAGTGACCTTTACAAAATGAATTTCTGGTCTCGGTCTGTTTTCTAGTGGGCACCTCGTAACCATCGCTGCTTGGAACCCTTGCCAGCGGCTTCAGCTAAGAGACCAAGAATAGAGAGAAAAATGCTCCTTCTCTAGAAACATTTCTTGTGTAGTTACATGAGTGGGAACGCTATTTCTCCCCTGAAAACTCTAGGCATGAAAAACAGCTACAGCCCTCCACATCTCTGAGGCGATGGGGCCTGAGATCCTGGCCTGGATGCTGGATCCCATTTCACGGATCCACTATGATGAAAAGTTTGATCAAAATGCTCCCTCGTTCACTTCTAGTCGGTTGTTCCATAGCGAGCAGCCTGGTCAAAAACGGTAGGCTATGTCTTTCCCGATGTGTACAGTAGTGGAGGACTTACATGAAAGGACCTATGGTTGGTTTGATTATCCTCATTGTAGCTCGTTGCTCCAAAACTGCACCCAGGACTGGTATTGTCCCTTTACTGGACGTGTTCCTTAGGCGTATGGGATATCGAGAGGGGACGTCACATCAGGGGGTGGTCACTTGTTTGCTTAGGGTTGGCACATTCACATTTGGGGTCATTCTTCACTTCCACTTGGTCATGTTGTCACCGGTCTTGCTTGATGTAATGAACACCAGTGTGTTTATTCTAGGTCGCTGCTTGAGTTCCGAAGAAACCAGGTTCTCCAAGGTTTTCGGCATTTCCGGACATTTTGTTACTCTGCAGCCTCCCACAGTGGCATTTTGGGGGTAAGGGATTTTCGTCCTTGAATGGGGGAATGTGTCCACACAATGGGTGTCTTGCATCATGCATCGTGGTTTTCGTCTCTCCTTTTTACTGAAGGCATCTCACTGGGTAATGCAATCCCAGTGAGGCAGTATAGAGACGGTGTGGGAATCTGTTTCAAGGTCACTGTGATGATCCTCCAAGACTGAGTTCCATGGCAGTTCCGTGTGCCTGGCTCGAGCGTGACCGTCCCGGGCATGGGATGCCACCACTGAGTAGCACAGGGCAAGACTGATTGCTAAGAGCGCTCTAGGCTCCAGTTTATGTTGGCCAGTTTCTAGAGTCCGCCATTCCTGGAGCTTGCGTTCTTTTTCAGCTTCTTAGGTGCTTCTTCGGCCCAGAGATCTGTAGCGCTCAAGGATTGCATCACCGCAGTGATGTCGGGAGTTTTGCTTGGCCTGAAGGTGTGTCAGGTGGAAGGTATACAGACTTGGCATTCAGGAACCAAGCATAATAGTATTTTCCAGGTACTCTCAGGGAGCCAGTTAAAATGAGCTCAGTGCCCTCAAATCTTTCTACCTGCAAAGATCATCTGCCTACATGAATCTTTGCACGTCATGATATTCCGGTTGGTCCCTCAGGTGGACATTAAACAGCACGGGTGATAGTACTGAACCTTGGGGCAAGAATAGTTCAGGGTCCATGAGCAATTCCAGATCAGAGCTCAAACATCTCAGATCCTGAGCAGCATGTCATCCCCTTTCACTGGGGTCACCTTGTGAACGTTACTGCTCTGCAAAGCCGTCACATGGGCTGCTGTTTGCACACAATCCCCCGCCCCGAAGCCCAAGCTGTGTGTTTATTCCTCTCCTTTCCATCCAGCAGGAGAATGTGAGATTCGGTCTCTTGACAAGCCCAGGAAAATGCCTCCAGAAATCAACCGTGGAATCTCTTGAGAACTTGTGAAGTCAGCACGCCAGGGCTCGCTTCTACTAGCCTCGGAGACAGTGGCAATCGAGTTCAGAGAAAGAGGAGACGAGGAAGAGGCAATAGCCCCCACGGTAGGATAACAGCCAGTGGATCCTTCTTGACTCACCATGGTCCAGATTTGCAGGGGATCAGCCGCCACTCCCTTGTTTTTCTTCCTTTGGAGTATGGAAAATAACCAGTGGAATGTGTCAAAGCTGGGTTTGACCCTGGCTGGGCAACGCTCACTTGTGCTTACATTTCTCAGGCATAACACAAATGTGTAATGGATTAAAGCTTTAATAGTATCCGCTCGGCAGTCAGCTTAAGCTGGTGATGACAAGAAAGGCTGGTAATGCTGCTTTTGTTGGATAAAAGATATCCCTGGCATGCCGCTTCTAGGTAACCCAATAGCACTGTTTTGCTCCGAGTGGTCTTTGGTGGTAATTATTCCCGAATTGACTTTCTTTGCCCCTCCATGGGCTCCCTGCCTTCAGTAAATACATAGCACGCTCCTTAATGGATCGTGGCCCACTCTGACCCTCCACAGTAATCTGTTCAGGTCTGGGCAATACTTACAATCAGCGACTCGTTAGGAATGCAAAGATGCAGTACCAAGATGACAAAGTCAGAACAGTTACAAGCTACATAAACCGCATTCCTTTCCCATTGTTTTAGTTGTTTAGTCTGCACGGAGGTCTGTGTTTATGTTATGGCTGAAGATACCTAACCTTCGAACATTTGCCACTTGCTCGCTTCCAATGTATTGGAATTACACGACCTACGGAAGGATCGGACATGTACTACGAAACTGCTCACAAGTGCTTGTTCCAAATCCACACCAGGATTGGATTCGTCCCCACCTCCTTTGTTACTTGCTGCTCACCGGCATCATCTGACTGGGTCTTCCTTCACAGAAATGTTCAAGAACAGTTGCTTTTTTCACACCAGAAAGAGCTCCGTTATCTGCCTTCAAAGCCCTCCTTTGCATTGATGCCTACAAAAAATCTTGACAACGCTTAGGAAGAGAAAACAGCCTCGCATGCTGGCCAATGTTGTGTGTCTGTTTCCTTACACTCCCTGTCTGTCTGTATCTATCTGTTGTCGCTTGTCTTTTACTGTGATTGTAAATGCCTACACATGCTCAGGATTAGTCCAGAAAACCCAGGACATAATTCTCAATTAATGAAAGAAAAAGGGAAAAATAGCAAATACAAAGATGAGAATCGCATGTCTTAGATGGCTGCGAATCTACTATCACTTGATTGTCACCTGTTCTGTTCCCTCCCTCTGGGGCACCTGGCATTGGCCACTGTTGGCAGACAGGACTCTGGGATGGATGGATCTTTGGTCTGACACGGTGTGGCCGTTCTTATGTACTATTCCGGGTCCCCGGCAGCCCATATTTAGAGCCCAAACATTTTAAAAATGAACTAATGAAAACAGAAATGCCAAACTCTGGAATGCATTGTGTTGGGTCCCCGGCAGCCCATATTTAGAGCCCAAACATTTAAAAAATGAACTAATGAAAACAGAAACGCCAAACTCTGGAATGTATTGTGTCCCCCTCACAATTACGCATCCCTTATCCTTTTGGATCTGTGGCAGATGAAGGTTTAGGGACTGCTGTGTTACCACCTCGCACCATATATATTCATTGAGAGATGGACTTTGCCATCAACCATCACACCTGCGCCACGCAGGAAGCAAACATTACCAAAAGTCCCAGAAAGCTCCTGTTTGACTCTTGGTGGGCACACACTTTGCACACTCATCCACCAGTACGCGAGCTGCCGGGCCTTTCACTTTTCACACTGTTTAGCCTGCTCTCCGGGTGCCTGAACACTGCACTCAGAGGCATGACTGCGGTACGTGTAGGCAAAGCAACTCAGAGATTAACCGAAGTGGAGCTACAGCAGCAAAGGCCGCGCAGCTCCTGCTGGGGAACACGGGTTTGACCTCAAGCAGCTGGATTGTGCTGGTGGCATTTCTCCGCTGCTGTGAGCCCAGCGCAAAGCCAGCTCCGCTATGTGCCTGTGTGGGCCGTCGTCATGCTGACCGCAGTGTAGGCAAGCCCATGGTCTAGGAGAGGCACTGCCCAACAGCTAATGTGACTCGTGGTGTCAGCCTCCGGGCGTGAATTTGCAGGCACGTTTGCTGCCAATGCTGGATCCTGAGGCCACGTGGGGAAGGCGGGGATGTGTTTACACACACGGGGCCTGACCCTGGGAGGAGGTGAGTGGTTCCCATTGACGTCAGTGCGAGCCTTGCCCGAGCCAGTCCAGAATCAATCCTTTTTTTAATTAGGAAGAGAATTTCGCAGTCTTCATTTATTCCCACCTTCAAAGCTCTGACACACATGCACACCCACCGGGCTACGGGCTGGAAACTGGGAGTCAGCAGCCCCATGGTTAACTGTGTAACCGATATCATTTTGATCGGTTACACGGTTACTCCTTTTTTACGTGTCTTATATCCCTAGCTCCAATGAGACACCCACCCAGGCCGCAGAGGAGCCCGTGATAAATAAATAAATAAATACTAACACACTTTCTGTTTGCAGTGAAACTTTATACTTTCACGAGCGAAGTGATCAACGGGGAGATGCAGTTCTATGCCAGGGCCAAACATTTCTACCGGGAGGTGCCGGCGACGGAAGAGGGCATGATGGGAGATTACGTCGAGCTGTCCAGTGTGGATATTAAATCCTCCAGGGAATTCCTTAGGAAGTTTGTTGGGGTGAGTCATCTGCTCCCACCTTCTGCAGGAAGCAGGGCGCATGGATCATATTTCACGTGCGTCATGCCCAGCGGATCCTGCAAAACGCATCCCGCAGAGCCAAGAACTTGCCCAGAGTTCCATGGAGATTGAGGGGTGATTCTAGTTGTAGGATCAGGGAGTTGTAGGGTTCAGTGGGAGTTTCGACTGTGTAAAAACTACCCAGCCAGACCTAGTCTGTTCTGCGAAGTAGGACAGGCTATCCCAGATCAGACGAATACGCCAGCTGGCCCACCACCCTGCCAGTCTCAGGGCCTTCTCCTAAATGTTTCTGAAGAAGTTGTGAAATTCCCAGCTGGGCCTTTTTAGGACCAGGGTTTTTCAGAGACCCTTCCCTCTTAAAAGTCTTTCCGATGACAGGGGTGCTGGCTGCCCACGGCCTTCCGAAAAGTCTCTCTCGCACGGGGCTCTTGCAGCTCTGAACTAGTGTCACTGATGGTACCTACAACCTACTCCGTGCCGCGTGTAGCCGCGGGCACAGAGTCCGCACTAACGGGGATTTAAAAATGGCAGCGCCCGGCAAGATGCAAATGAAGCCCGGGATATTTAAATCCCGGGCTTCATTTGCAACTTCGAATGACTACATTAACCACCCTAGTTCGAACTAGGGTGGTAGTGTAGACATACCCTCAGAGATTAGGGGCCTGACGGGTGAGTGGGTGGCTGAAGTTTTGCGGCCTGTGATATTCAGGAGGTCAGCCCAGTTGGTTATGACAGTCCCTTCTGACCCTGAGTCTATGGAGATCAGGCTTGTCTACGAAGGTAAGTGCAGATCCTTGGTCAGGCTGTATGTCCCACCCCTCCCTGTTGCTGTCCTTGGTCGGGAGGGCCCTTGCGTGCAGCAGAAGGAACACAGGAGGGGCACCGGCCACGTGACCGTAAGCTGTCTTCCTCCCCTTGCTGCCTCTAAGACAAGGCAGCCTTCCTCTAGCTCCCACCCCTTCCTGCGACTGACTCTGGTTTAAGCTCATTTTCTCCACGTGACATAAGCTCTGCAGGTGCACTAACGGCTGAGCCCAGAGGAGCTCGTTAGTGTTTTCCTGATTGGGCTAGGGGTCTGCAGCATCCCACTCCTTGTTAGGCAAACACGGAATAAGCAGCCCATAGAGAAATTTTTTCCTAACCTCCGTCATTTAGGGGCAGAGTTTTAAAGGTCCGGAGGTGCCTAAAGATGCAGGTGGGAATCAAGGGAGATTTTCAAAAGGGCCTGGCTGGGTATGTTTTCATACAAATGTCTTAAACATTTGTGCAGCCTGCGATGCTTTTGGCCTCACTGCTGTCTGGGAGCTATGAAGACCATGAGTTCATGAGGCTTTCTAGAAAGACGTATGTTCCTTTATCAGCTTTAAATAGGTTGGGATGGAAAATGGAACTTGTTTAACAACACTACATAACAGCATAGGGCAAGGGAGAATATTGTATCCTATAGAAATTACTGGGGGAATACTGATAGAGATGCAGCTGGGTTAGTCTGGTCTAGCTGAAACAAAAGACAGAACTATGTAGCACTTTAACGTCCGTGCAATAGAATTGCCTGAACTGGTAAATCTGTATTAGTACTAGTAATATTAATTATCAATTATTAGTAGTACAGTTTGAACCTCTCTAATCCGGCACTCTCTGGCCAGCAACATCCATGGTCCGGCATGATTTTAGTCCACACTTGGCCAAGTTTCCCGTGGTCCCATAAAGTTTGTTTTCAGCCACCAGCCCTGGCTCTCAGCGTTCTGCGCTGTTATTTAGCTTTAACTTACCCCTGAATGTCTCCTAAGAGCCGAGTAAGCCGTGGAAGTGTTGGAATGCTGCTAGATAAAATTGTCCGGCAAATTCTCTGGTTCGGCACCAGGCAGGTCCCAAGGGTGCGGGACTAGAAAGATTCAATCTCTAGTACACTAGCATCTAGAAGTCCAAAAAATGACCTAGACACCAGGTGTGTTAGGTGCTGTACAAACGCATAGCAGGAAACACTCCATGCCCTAAAGAGGCAAGGGAGAGAAAGGGTGGGAGCAGAAACAAAGGAAGGAAATGACCAGCCCAAGGTTTCAGAGGAGATTAGTACCAGAACCAAACCCAAGTCGCCTGACTCGCAGTGCACGTAGGTAGCTAGACGTGCACATGTTAAATAAGTGTCTGACCAATGCGATCGAGAGCCAGAAAGTCGTTTTTCACTACATTCTGCTTGTGCTGGGTGGTGTTTCGGTGGCCTTGCTCCCTCTCCGATCTGCATAAACTTTGGTGACTACCAGTACTTTTCTCCCTCGTTCTTTAAAATTCTCTGCTGCTTTGCACGGAAGGTAGCAACATACTTTGGCTGAGAGGCCGTGTACTCCAGGTCGCTGCTCACAGACCAAGGAGCCAAGGTCTCCTTCCCTTGAACTCCAACGCTGCCAGTGACTTGTTGGATGACCTCGCTGGGCCAAAATCTGCCCTTTGCTACATCCTAAGCCAGTAGTCTTCAATCCATGGTCCATAGACCCCTGGAGCTCTGCAGACTATGTCTAAGATTTCCAAAGGGGTCCGCAGCTCCATTCAACATTTTGGAGGGGTGTGCAAATGAAAAGAGGTTGCAAATCACTGCTCGAGGGAACTGTCTTGCAGTCCTGCTTTTAGTCTGTAACATGAAACCGACACCATTTGCTTCCCTGCCTCTCAGGGGTGTCGTGGGAATAAATTAGTCAAAGTCCGCACAATGCTTAGAAAAAGGAAAGTGCTGACGCAGCTTCTTTTGCCTTTGAAGGGGCGAAAGGCTGTGACAGAACGCGTCTTCCCCGAATGACATTGACCCATGGGCCCCAGGCTTAGGTAACACTTCAAGATAGGACTTGAGGGGGACTTGAGTGGCTCATAAGAACATAACATAAGAACATAAGAACGGCCGTACTGGGTCAGACCAAAGGTCCATCTAGCCCAGTATCCTGTCTGCCAACAGTGGCCAGCACCAGGTGCCCCAGAGAGGGCTGACCGAAGACAATGATCAAGCGATTTGTCTCCTGCCATCCCTCTCCAGCCTCTGACAAACAGAGGCCAAGGACACCATTTTATCCCCTGGCTAATAGCCTTTTATGGACCTAACCTCCATGAACCTATCCAGCGTCTCTTTAAACTCTATTATAGTCCTAGCCTTCACCGCCTCCTCTGGCAAGGAGTTCCACAGGTTGACTACACGCTGTGTGAAGAAGAACTTTCGCTTATTAGTTTTAAACCTGCTACCCATTAATTTCATTTGGTGTCCTCTAGTTCTTCTATTATGGGAACTAATAAATAACTTTTCTTTATCAGCCCTCTCCACACCACTCATGATTTTATAGACCTCTATCATATCCCCCCTCAGTCTCCTCTTTTCTAAACTGAAAAGTCCCAGTCTCTTTAGCCTCTCCTCATATGGGACCCGTTCCAAACCCCTAATCATTTTAGTTGCCCTTTTCTGAACCCTTTCCAAGGCCAAAATATCTTTTTTGAGGTGAGGAGACCACATCTGTACACAGTATTCAAGATGTGGGCGTACCATAGTTTTATACAGGGGCAGTAAGATGTTCTGGGTCTTATTTTCTATCCCTTTCCCAATAATTCCTAGCATCCTATTTGCCTTTTTGACCGCCGCTGCACACTGTGTGGAAGTTTTCAGAGAACTGTCCACGATAACTCCAAGATCTCTTTCCTGATTTGTCGTAGCCAAATTAGCCCCCATCATACTGTACGTATAGTTGGGGTTATTTTTCCCGATGTGCATTACTTTACACTTATCCCCATTAAATTTCATTTGCCATTTTGTTGCCCAGTCACTCAGTTTGGTGAGATCTTCTTGGAGTCCCTCACAGTCTGCTTCTGTCTTGACTATCCTAAACAGTTTGGTATCATCTGCAAACTTTACTACCTCACTGCTTACCCCTTTCTCCAGATCATTTATGAATAAGTTGAAAAGGACTGGTCCCAGGACTGACCCTTGGGGTACACCACTATTTACCCCTCTCCAATCTGAAAATTTACCATTTATTCCTGCCCGATCCCCTACACGCTGGGGGGACTTCACCCTTCCTAGACAAACCTGTGGCTTCACCGGTCTCCGCGCAGTGAATTTGTATCAGGCTCTTACTCCTGTTGCTGGTCTGATGAAAACACCCGGAGCATCAACAATCTGCGGAATTTCTCGTGGGTCTCGACTCCGTCACATTGTTGCTGCCTTCTGAAGCCAAACCGCATTTTTCAGAATCTTACCCTCCCAGGTGCTTGAGGGCTGGAGCACCCACAGAAAAAAAATGAGTGGATGCTTAGCACCCACCAGCAGCCAGCTTCCTCCCTGCCCCCCGCCCTGTCGCACCTTCTGCCCACCGTGAGCAGCGGTTCCACAGTGTGTAGGAGGTGCTAGGGGGAAGGAGCAAGGATGGGGCACAGTTGGTGGATGGGGCAGAACTGTGTGCGAAGGGGCGGGGAGGAAAGAGGTAGGGCTTTGGGGAAGGGGTGGAGTGGGGGTTGGGGCTGCTGGCAAAGTGGGGGGGAGAGGTAGGGGGCAGTTCGGGGAACAGGGTGGAGTGGGGGGGACTGCTGGAGGAGCAGGAGTGGGAAGAAGTAGGGGGCAGGTCGGGGAAAGGGGTGAAGTGGGGGTGGGGCTGCTGGTGGAGCAGGTGTGGGAAGAGGTGGGGGGTGGTTCGGGGAAAGGGGTGGAGTGGGGGTGGGGGGATGCCAGCAGAGCAGAGGCAGGAAGTTTTCTTTGCAAAAAGCATCTGCTCTCTGTGGAAAATGTTGATATTTCCTTAAAGTACAGGACACCCCCAATTCAGACCATTTCAGCGGAAAAGCAAAATGTTTCAATCATTTGTTTAAAAATGGCGCTGCGATGCCTCATGGGACCTGTAGTTCCACAGCCTCATGCTCACATTCTCCCCCAGAGGCAGGCCTTTCTGGTTAGACTACATCTCCCATGATGCACTACTTTACCTGAGAGAAGCAAGCGGGTCCTGGGTATGGTGTATCATGGGTGATGAAGTCTGGCCAGACTGCCCTGCCTAACAAACAGTGGGAGTTTAAGTTACCCAAACTACATCTCCCAAGAGGCAATGGGGTGCCATTTTCAATCAGAATGTTTTTGATTTTGATATTGTGTGGAAAAGCCAGAAATGAAAAATAATGGCTCGTGCTTTTTGGCTAGTCAAGAGTTTGTGGGGCAGGCAGTCTTCATAGGCCAAGGCGGTTCTTAATTAGCCAAGGGACATTTGTCATATTCATTTACATGCTGTACACAATGTGCATGGATACATGCTAATTGCGTGTAGATTAGTAGGCGTGTTTATGGAGGATGGGACCGTGCTCTTACAAGAAACCCCAAGGATGGAGTTGTGACCTTAACTTCTCCGATGGGAATTTCCACATGGCCTTTTAACAGTTCTTTAAAGGGAAAGATTAGAGCTGCTCTGATAGACCTAGCTGGAAAACAGGGAGTGGGAAATCTTGTCTTTACTCTGTGCAGGACCAAGCTGCACTTTTGCAAGCGAGGTCATATTAATCTTCAGAAATGGACAACGTGGGACCAGTAGAGTGAGTGACTGTAGGGAGATCTTTCCTGGCCTCTGTGTTTATTCTGCAGCTACCTCATGGAACGAGAGGCACGGCCGGTATATTTATAGCAGTGATGTCGTCCTTGGGACTGTCCTTTGACCTTAATAATCTGCTGAATTAATCACTGAAAGGGGGCCCAGGAAGCGATGATATACAGGCCTCTGACATGATTTATTCTCAGCCCCCCGGAGGTCGTTTAGTAAGCTGATAGAGCCAAATCCTTCCTCGCGGCATCTGTTTGGAAAGGTATGAAGTTAGAGCAGGGGCGACTTTGGCCCTTGGCTTTCATTTCAACACTGAGTGACACAGGAGAGCGGAGAAGGTGTTTACATTGTCTCCAACGTGTTTTCTTTTGCAGCCCAGTTGGCGGAGGGGAGGGGAGTTCTCATCTCACAGTTGGTGCCTGCACACTGACAAAGTGCAGTTTTGCCCGCAAACGCCTCGGCCCAAATAGATCTGTTGGTCTTTAAGGTGCCACGGGACTCCTCGTTTTTGTGGGCACCAACTAACTCGGATGCCCCTCTGATACGTGTCAGCAAAATCAACGTGTCCATTTTTGAGTTCTATGTACGGGGGGTGGAGGAGAAAACGTTTTTCCCCCGTATGATTCCACCCTTTTGGTGGTCGGAACCCAACCACGCCTTGTGTAAACACAGCTTGTTTTGCAGAGATCAAATGTGTGCTTACATTATCCTGGGAAGGTTCTTCAGACCTAGTTCTGGGAGAGGTTGGTTTTGGCAGATGGCAGCGGAGAGCTGAACTTCCAAGGACTTACAAAATAGGTGAACCTTTTAGGAAGACAAAGGACTCGTGAAAACATTACGCTCACCATTGTGCTGGGATTTAAGAGGGCCCAAGTTCTAGTCTATTGTCAGGGACTTCCCGCTTAAACATTCCTTAATTAGGCCTCCCAGCATTCCTAGACTGTAGGCAAATGTGGTTAGCTACAAATGGGTGAACAGACAGATTGGATGGTTTTCTCAGGGCAGGAGCCATGTTCCCCTCAAACATTTCACTGCTCTGTTGATGGACGAGGCAGGTGAGGTAATATATTTTGTTGGACCATCTTTCGAGTAACACGGGACTCAAAACCGCATCTCTTTCACCGGCAGAAGTTGGGCCAATAAAAGATGTTACCTCATCCGCCTTGTTTCTCCAGTACCTTGGGGCTAACACGGCTCCAGCAACCCTACACACATCCTGCTGATAGTCATTTGTGGCCAGGGTTGTCAGCTAACGGGTTTCTTCCCGATCATGCCTAAACATGATAAAGGGCTATAGGGGAAACAAGCCGCCACAGGGGAACCAGCTAGAGCCGTTCAAAGTGAAGAGTGTAGTTAGTACAAGACCCTGTCTCCCTGACCAACACCAAAAAGGCATGCCATGGAGTTAATGACCAGGAAATCCAGGCCACCTGTGAAACTCACTGCCACAGCGGATCCTGGAGTTAATCATCTGGATAATTTTCTGTCTGGCAATAACATTTTGGGTTTGCAAGGTACGGTGAGTCACCGCTCACGCAGTAGACTAGAAGTTGATTGCAGCAGGGGACAGGAGAATTTCCATCTGGGCGGACACGCCCACCGAATTCTGTAGAGCACTGCAAAGCCGACTATGCAGAGTTTCCTTTTCACTGTCAAGCATACAGTAGTGATGGAGGCCAGACCCTGGACTTGATGGACATGACCCAGCGGTCCTCCAGGAGGTGCCCTTCCTGGCTCTGAAACGGTTTTCTCATCCTCCGCAGGGTCCTGGGAAAGCTGGCACCGACTGTGCCCTCGACTGCGGTTCAGGGATCGGACGGGTCACCAAGCATGTCCTCTTGCCCGTTTTCAAGAGCGTGGAACTGGTGGATATGATGGAGAGTTTCCTGGCTGCGGCCCAGAACTATTTACAGGGCAAGGAGGAGAGAGTAAAGATGTACTATTGCTCCAGCCTCCAGGAATTCACTCCAGCCCCCCAGAAATATGATGTCATCTGGATACAGTGGGTTTCAGGTTAGCGCACCATTAATTTATGTATATAACGAACCAGATGTATACATAATGCGTACCATATGCATTAAAATACATATCCACAGAACGTTGAGGTTGCAAAGTCAGGTACTCAAAAGTTAGGAAATGCGGGAATTCAGGTTGACCGGCATGGGCACTGTCAGAGGCCGCACACTGAGAGCACAGGAGATGCGGTTTCCTTGTTTTCCGTTCTAGTGCACCGTAGCAGCCCCCAGCTTCCGGGGGAGCCACTGTGGGAATATGGGGCTGCACCCCTGAAAGGAGCATCCTCAGCCACGGTGGGTGTGGCACATGTGCAGTCTGGGCATCATTTTCAGGGGTGAACTGCTGGGGAGGGACACAAGGGGGGAATATGACTGCCCTCTCATGTGTCTCCTCTATGCGTCACCCGTATCCGGGGAGAGAGCCCCGCCTCTTCCTGTCTCTGCCCCGCCCCCATGCCACCCCAGAGACTGCCTCTTCCTGTCCCTGATCTCCTAACTTCCCTCTACTCATCCCTGCTGCCTACACCCACCCTTCCCCCTAATCCCCTGGGCCACATCGCTCAGGAGGAGGGGGCTGGGGGAAAGGGGTAGAACAGGTGCCGGGAAGTGGAGCAGTGGAGCTGGAGTGGACTGGGGCTGGGTCACTTTGCTTCCCACTGCTGCTGGTCAATGCGGGAGGGCCCCTATTGCCAATGCCAGCACCCCACTAATTCTGAGGCCCCTCCAGGACTCCAAAGGACCCCCCAAAGCGCAGAGCCCTGGGTGGTTGGACAAACCGTCCTCTGGACGGGCTGGCTCTGCCCACCGGCTGCTGGCCTCTTGCCCCTTACACACACTGCATTTGGGGGGCATTATGTGACCCTGGGTGCCCCCAGGCATCACCCCCCGATCATGGTAGTTCCCTGCCCCTTATAATGGCCACAGAAGCACTTCCTGGGGCACTGGAGTTTGCACCACCCAGGACTCCCTCCTTCCTGGCTCTTCAAGCTTTCTGGGCCGTCTTCTGCCCCCAGGATCCTGCCCTCTACTCAGGCCTCGCCAGGGCCCACCTGCTCCCTCACAGGAGGACTGAGGCCCTCCCCCTTAGTGTGGCTCCTGCCAGGGTGCAAACCCTGTTAAAGGGGCCACATCGGTGGGTGGTCCCCAGAGCAGAGCTGCCTTCCAGCCAGCTGACCTGCGGTAGCAGGGTGGCTTTGCCCCGGGTTGTGCTGGACTTGCCATGCCTGACCGTTTCTGCGTCCCTTGGCCGTTTTCCTAATGGACCTGCTGTGGGTGCCATTTGGGGGAAGGTCTCTAGCTTGTGTTATACAGAAGGCCACACACTCACCATGGTCCCTTGTGGCTTTGGACTCTCTGTGAATGGATGATGAAACCCGGTGACGCCGATCCACAGCGTGGGGCACTAGAACTTTGCAACTAAACATGTGCAAGGATTTTTAAACTTTAGAGTCCATCCCCCGCAAACTTGGGTTTGGGGAACAGCTGAAGCATTTTTGCAGAAACTTTACCAAAAAATTCACTCTGAGGCCGACACATGACCTGGACGATTTGAACCCCGAAGTTTAAGTTTGGCAAAGTGAGAAGTAACTGAAAACAGGGTCTTATAATGGAAACTCTTAGGCTAGCTTAAGTATAGCTAGCACTATCCGCTGCAGCTATAGAAGACCAGGGACGGTGCTATTGTCTTATCTGCCAATGGTTGGAGTGAACCATGCTTGCTAGGAAAAGAGCCGTGGTGTCCAGTTTCTCAGATGCCTGCGGGGTATGCAACTAAGAGGCAGTAGCTAGCTACCATGTCCCAGCCCAAATCGGAGCCAAGTTAAGACATTAAAGTTGTGGGGAGGGTTAGGGGGCTCATGGGGCAGGAAATCTAGGTCCGTTCCATTCTGAATAGGAACATGAGCCTTTGAATGAGAAGTTGTGCTAAATGAAACAGGCTTCATCACATGGATTCGTGATTAGGGGATGGGACGCGACCCGTTTCAGATCATCTCCTAGACGTGGCGCCTGGGCGATTTCAGTGTGTTTGGTCCACCCCGTCTCTGACCCTGGCGTGCGCAAAGAACTAACGCGTTCATAACTCCTGCAGTGTTGACCCAACAGCCTGCCACCAGGCTAAGGCAGGGACAGGCAAAATGCAGCCTGCAGGCCGGATCTGGCTTGCTGCACAGCTGGATCTGACCCGCTACCAATGTCCCGTAGCCCACTGGTCAGGATCCTCTCCCGCACCCATACTCCCTCGCGGACCCTTCCCCCTCTCCTGCACCCCAATGCTCTTCACCGCCACCACCACCTCCTTCACCCAAACTGCCTCCCAGACTCCATACCCACTCCTGCCCCCCAAGCTCACCCAACCTCCATTCCACATTCCAGACCCCGCATCTCCTCTGTTAATATCATGGAAGAGCGCGGCCCTTGACCTCTTACCAAATCCTGAGGGTGGCCCCCACCAAAAATTATTGCCCATCCCTGGGCTAAGGTCAAGTTTGCACTAGACAAGATCTGGTGGTGGAGGCAGTTAATACTAGCAAAAAAGTGCTGATATAAGGAGTAAACCCCAGTATCCTATGAGTCCCAAGACGTCTCTACTTCCCAAGAGATCGATGCTGTGGAGATCAACCTCCCGGGGTTTGATTTAGTGGGTCTAATAAGGACCCTCTAAATCAATCACTGATGGCATCTCCATCAACTCCGGTGCTCTACTGGGTCATGAGGAGTAAGGGGAGTCGAGAAGAGAGCTTCTCCTGTCGACCTCCCGCACTGGGGACACTGCGGAAATTTGACCTAAGGTACGTCGACTCTGGCTACACTATTCTCATAGCTGGAGTTGAGTATCCTAGGTTGACTGTCTCCCCGACTGTAGATGCCTTTGGGATGTTGAACCACAACTCATTTCTGCCTCTTCCCCTTTAGGAAACCTGACGGACAAAGATCTCCTGGAGTTTCTGATCCGGTGTCAGAATGGCTTGAAGGACAACGGCGTTGTCATCCTGAAGGACAACGTGGCCCGGGAGGGCTGCATCCTGGACCCCTTAGACAGCAGTGTGATCCGAGACCTGAGCATCCTCCGGCGCCTCGTTGAGAAAAGCGGACTCGCCATCCTGGAGCAGGAGAGGCAGGAGGACTTTCCCGAGCAGTGTGTCCCCGTCTGGATGCTGGCCCTGCAGAAGGCCTTTCCTGAAAGGGAGGGTGTGTGGGTGCGAAGCCCCTGAGACAAGATGGATGCTCGGGGCTTGCAAGAAGAGGAAGCAGAGAAAATGGCAGCTAAAATCCCACGAGTGCCACACCCCTGTTCCCATAACGACAGGCCTCTGAGTCATCGCCCTGCTCCCAGAGCCAAGCTGCCTCGTCTTCATGTCCTCCTCGCTGTGAGATTTCTAGTTTGGTAACGGGCTAAGACTCAGCTGTGAGGAAGTAATTAGGCTACAGCTTTCCAAAGTGACCAGAGAGTCTCCACTATTGGGGGCCCAATTCGAGATGCAATAACAAAGCCATTTTTCCCCCCTTCAGAAATCGGGTGCTCTGCATTTCCTGGAAAATCAGGACGATTCAAGCTGTGTGGTTCATAACACTGTGGGCTCTTGGCATGGAAAATGTCAGGAGTGTCTAATGTACTTGCTGTCAGTTATGCTGTCTGTTTGTTTGTTTATTTTTGCATTTCACTCCCTTTGGACAGTGAAACGAATCTGGTTGATTTCATATATTTAAGTTAATTTCATTTCTTTCTTCTCCTGCCCTAGATGGGGGCTGTTAGGGTTCTTCTGCACTGCACAGTTATTTTGGAATAAGCTGTTCCGGAAGAGTTATTTCAAAATAGCTCATTTCGAAATAGCATGTCTACACTGCAGGGGAGCCTCAAAATTAGTCTGAGGCAGGCTTCCCTAGTGTAGACGGTGAGGGGCTATTTCGAAATAGCAAAAATGGAGCATCTCTACATGACTTATTTTGAAATAGCTATTTTGGAACAGGCGTTATTCTTCACAGAACGAGATTTGCAGAAGTAGGAATAAGCCGTCCGTTATTTCGAAATGATTTCAGAATAATGCAATTGCTGGATACACGCTCGCATAGTTATTTTGGAATATGTAGACATCCCCTTAGAGTAGGAATCTCCAATCTTGTGGGGAAACTGTCGGTGACAAAGATCGACGTGGTGAAACGCTGTTTGCATTGAAAGCTTTGCAAAATGGTTCCTACGTGGAATAAGTTGTGGGAAATGTTTGTTCTGAAACCAAAAGCTACATTCAGAGCAGAAAGGGCTCCGGGGAGTTGGGCCTTTTTCTCCCACTGGTGTGAATTTCGCGGAGAGGCTGGCAGGCCTCGCAGGCAGGTCGTGCCCATCATTTTTCAGTGCCCCCAAACTTCACCCACATGGACTGAGAGTGGTGTGTAGGGGGACCCGGACCACCATCTCCATCAGGTACCCATCCCAGGGCACCTGGGGGAGAGCTCTGGAATGTCTTGGCTACATCTTCCTGGTGGACTTCCAATAAGCATTTCTCAGCTCTCTTGGTAATGTCCAGTTATTCTCCTTCTGCGGGGAGCGGAAGAACCCTTTGCTTCCCTGTTTGGGTCTGACCAATGATCCAGACCCTCTCCTGTGGATCACTTTGTCCCAGAAGCTGCAAATTTACCTCCTCCCTTGGGACAGCCTCTCCTTCACCCTCTCTGCTCAACTGTCAGGCTGTGTCTAGACTACATGGCTCCATCGATGGGATGAGGGATTCCTCGTGGGATGAGGTTTACCGGGGCTGCCGACAAAGGGCTTTGATGTCGGCAGGGGAGTGTCCAGACTAGTGCGTCCAGACTAGTGCGCTGAGCAGACAAACAGCTGATCAGCTGTTTGTCGGCTCAGTGTGGCAGCCATGTAAATTTAAATGAAGCAGCGATTATTTAAATCGCCGCTTCATTTCCCTTTGCCAAAAAAACAAATCTACATGGCTCCATCGACGGAGCCATGTAGTTTAGACGTATCCTCAGAGTCCCCTTCTGGGGACCTCTTGGTCTAGTAATGCTCTATCAATCCCCATATTTAAATCAAATCAGATACAATACGCAGGGCTAGTGGCATTTCAAGGGATGTTAAAAGTGAGGCTAAGAGATGATCCGAATACAGTATTGAATTAATTAACAGCACTCTGCTACAGAAGATGTTACTTTAACCCAAAGGCATCTATGATTTATGTTTAAATAGAGTGGCTTTGACATTACTAGTAACCATAGATTTCCCTCTCCTCTGCTCCACCCAGAGATTACACACAGAACAGCTTCCGGCCTCAGTCACCAGGATAGCGGTATGGAGGATAGGAAGGATTTTGACGTTTCAAAATCTGGCTTCGTTACAAATCAGAGCGAACATGGAAAATTTCAAAATTCCCCACGAAAGAAAAGTCCTGGGGGAAAATATTGTGTTCGGGTAGATAAACCATTTCCATTTTACAAATTCTTCTGCTTTGGTCTTGTGACACTGAGTATAAAAAATTCAAAGTGAAAAGTCATTTCAAAATTAAAAATCAAAACTACGGATTGGCTGGTTTCCCGCCAAAATGAAATTCCAGCAAAATCAGCAAGATTTGTGAAAACACTTCAATTCTGAGTGAACGGCCTGGTCTGACAGACTGTGGAGTCTGTCAAATACGACCAGACAAGATTACCTCCAGCTATCACTTGGAGACTATTGGTGTTCGCAAGATTCCGTTGTGGGGTGTGTGTCCATTCAATTACACTTTTAAGGAAAATCACCTCATGTTATTTTCCCATAATACACCTCTGCCCACTACCACCGATCTTGCATAATCGCATAACTCAGCAGTTCTGGAAATGCGATCACCTGTGTGTGCAAACTCATCTGTCTGAGCAAGATGGCCACTTTTGTCAGGCCTTACACAGTAGTTGTGCTCGCTGGCTATTTCAGACATTCTCGGGATACAGCCCTGGTGGTTCGGTGAACACTCTAGAAGATAATGTGGCACAGATGCTTGTAAACTGCGTGGCGCTTCTAGACCATGGTGGCATCTGACACAGCTGTGTTGCACACATGTGGGCAAATTTTCTCATTGTAGCAATGTGGTGGCTGAAGATTAAATGAAACGGGTAAAGAATGTTCCAGAAAAATAATGCTGAATAATCAAGTCTGGAGGTTTTGCTCTGAGAGTTTTTCTCGGTGACTTTTTCATTCTCACAAGACTGTTAACAAATGCACCAGCTGTGGCTGTGGTTGGTAGACACAGAGATATAGGTGGAGTCCCTCACTGTTCTTCTTCAGGCAGAATGAAAAGTCGGGATTTCGAAATTCATTGTGAAAAAAAAAATCTGAAATATTTTGTTTTGGAAACCTTGAGAATATCCTAGCAAAATGTTTCATTTAGACTTTATCATTTCAACTTTTATATGGATATAACGTAGATCAGTAGTTTTATATTATACTATAAATAGTTCACTGATTATATTTGTTCTAATAATATGCAGCAGTTGACTTATACTATACAGTTGGAAGGACCAAGTCATAGTTTCCTGCTGTAAATTTTGACAGAATGTTGCACTTTACTCAAATCGACGTTCCCCCAACAGAAAACTGGTCTGCTGGAAAATTATGGACCAACTCTATTTAGAGACATTTTAGCAGTGTTAGTTGTGAATCCCACCCAGAAATACTGTACAAACTAAGAGTGTCAAAGCCACCTAAGAGATTTGGATACCAAATTCTCATTAGAAACAAACCTCTTGGTCCTTGCACATTACATTAATAGGGCTAATATAGTATAATGAATATGAATCCTATTAAGGAACAGTTTAGTAGCTTAGTCTGCAACATATCCTGAATGCTTTTGTGTCACCATCTCCACTTTTCCACTTCCTTAATCCCGTTTTCTTAGAGCATTTAATATGGCAGGTCAGACAGTAGCCCTGTCCCAATGAAGTTGACTGTAATGTGTGATTAAAACCAGTTACTTTACTTCCCATTTCTGCTCTCTCTCTTTGAGGCTTCTGCAACCACGCCAAGAAAATACCTCTTCTGTTCGCCAACATTGATTTGCTCTTCACTGGAATGCAGCAATTTTCAAGAAGGAAAACAGATCACCTTTGATTTGCAGAGGCTATAATTTTGTTTATCTGAGAGCAATAACAACGTACTATATTTCAACTTGCAGGGTAATACCTGTCTCTTCAAATTGATGTCAAGTGGATGTGCTAAGACCCTTAAACCAAAAAGTTCATACTACCCCTAATCACAATAAATAACAACCCTTAGCACTTGTATGGAATGTGTCAGGCATGGATCTTGAAGCGTTGCACAAAAGTGGTTATTACTGCCACTTTGAGTGGGAAACTGAGGCACATACGTTCGTGCCAACCCTTTCAAACTTGGGTTACATTACATGTAGATGTCATTAGGAAGAGCAGCTGCTCAACAAATCAGACTACTTATTTAGGAGAATTGGTGGAAGAAATATGAGCAGAGGTATTCATAAAAATGTAGGAAATTTTTCCTCCCCTCCCCAGTTTTGCAATTTTGAGACTGGAAACATTTTGGCCAGCTCTGGTGACTTGGAAGTTAGATGTATAATCTGGAAGGGCCAGATTTATAAAGGCACATTAGTGCTGTCACCGGGCATTGGCCCATTATGGGGATTCAGAGCCAGTCTTCCTGTGACAGGTTCACGACAGGCTTTTGACAGACCCACCTTGATGGAATGAACTCCATAACAGGCTGATCAGTAGCTAATTAGCTAATCAAGAAGAGTCGTCTGGACTCAGCTGAGGGTTTCCTTGAGACAGGAAGCTCCTGAGGAGATGTGCTCCTTAGACAGCTCACCAGAGCAAGGGGCCAGGGTGTGGTCCTCAGAGGATGGAGAACCTTGAGGTCTTGCCCCGGCAAGGGAAGCCCAATCTGTTCGAGACGACATATTGGCCTGGAGAAGAACTGCTGTTGACCGATTTCCATGGTGTCTGGGTAAGGTCCCAAAATGTCGGGCTCCGGGGAAGGGGCCCAAGTTGAAAGAACCCTGCTGGTAAAGGGCCTGACTAGAGAAACAGTAGACTCAGGTGAGAAGAGAGAAATTAAGACTGGCTCTCTCTCCCAGCGAAAACGCTGAGGAGAAGGTTTGCCTGTATCCTCAATGGGCAGTGGCTTTGCATAGACGTGTGTATCCCGTTGTGTTGATGTGCAGCCAGGGCAGAGGGAGAATTTCTGCTCAGGACATCTGCAGCCTGCCCTCAGCAAGACAGTGGCTGTGTCGGGGTGGGGCTGGAGCACGGTTTCTGAACAGTTCCAGGGCGAAGCGCTGCCCCTAGGCCGCCCAGGCAGGGTTAGCGTAACCCCCAGACAGCATAAGTTCCTGTGGCAGCCATTTTGTCCCCCTCATCGGCCCAGAATCCTGGGGGCGGAAAGGTGGCTTGCAGACAGCTTCCCCGTCCCCTCTGGGCTGCAGCTAAGTCTTCAGATTCCCACCTCCCGTCTCAGCGTCCCGCTCTTCGCCTGATCCACCGAGGCAGCGCGGCTGCGACTGACGTCCGGTGACCCCTCGAGTTAATGGGCTCAGAGCCAGCGCCGACCCTCCCCTGGAGAAACCTCTGAAAAACACAGCTCGTAAAATGGACGCCAGCAATGGCCTGCCCCTCGTGCCAGCAATGGCCTGCCCCTCGCTCGGCAACCCCGCTGACGCCCCGAAGAGTTAATAAACCTCCCCAACAAAATGGCCACCGCAGGCCGTGCTGCTGAGGTACCCAGGGCCGGGCGAGCTGTCAATCAGTGATGTAGCAGA